ATATTTCCCCATGAGCTGATTCGCTACAAAAGCTAAATGTGTTGTAGCACCTAAACAGTTGAAAACCCTGTCATCATTTACTCACCCTCCTGTTGTTCCAAACATGTTTACCCTTCTTACACCTGTGAAACACACAAAAAAGACATTTTGAAGAATGTTTCAGCTGTTTTGTCCACGTTGGCAACTAACACATTGAATTAAATGTGATTTTTTTTTTAAGTATAAAGACTGAAATACTATTATTATACTATAAGATATACTCCAATAATCTTGAGTTACAACTTCAAAAATTAATTTTTACAGTGTAGTAACAATACAGTAGCATGAAGCAACACAATCACTTTGTATGATAAACAGATGTAAATATACAGTATGCCTTTTTTTCACATTGAAGAACGTTCACTAACTGCCAGGCTCAAGCTATTCTGTTTTAACTCTTCTCTATTCCTGGCATCAGTGCTCATTATAGATTATGTATGTTAACATATATTTCAGTGTTTAAATGTTTGTGCTTTTAGTTCTTGTGCGTAACAGTAGAGGTTTTGAGTTCTTAGAAAACAAGTTCTGCAGCTCAAAGCAACTATCATAGCCACATACTCATTAAAGTCCAAATTTACTTGGGATTCCATAAACAAGTCACTGGTGCATAAAGAACTCATACAAATTAATACTCTTTGAATAAATGGGATTTACTGCGCTCAACCCAGTGTGCTTTTACCACACATTGTAATATTAAAGAGAATCTCTCTCCCCTAATTGAGCCTCACCGCACAGCTATTTTTCTTCCTTATGGTCTTGTCTTTCCCTGCCTCTGTTTATCACATCTAGCCTTTTCTTCTTTCTCAACCCACCGTAATCCACATGAAAGTTGAGTGTATAGAGAGCTGGACAGTCTAGACAGCCATTACACTTTCAGTCTTGCGTATGCTACCAACACCTCCAGCTGCGGTCTTCCCCTCCCATGAGTGTTTCATCTGGCAAAAAACATACTGTGTTATTCCACCCGCAGTGTTTAGAATGGCTCAGCTGCCTTGCACCATTTACTTTAAATGGTATAAGGAAGCGAATGAAGTCAAAACCACATTAAGTCTGCAGGGAGAGGAAATGGTGGATGTAGTTACAGATCTTATTAATGAAAGGCAGAGGAACATCCCTGTCAAGAGGTGCAGAAAATTACAGTGATATTGGATGAATCATGTCCTTAATTTCACATGGAAATTAATGGAAAGCATTCAGAGATGCTTTCCTTTTGTTACTTGATATATTGTGTGGATTATAATATCCTGCCAATTCCCTACAGTTCCCTTCTTTGTTATTTATTTACGGTTGGAAATTTGTCAACAGAACCCTTGAAATGAAGTTTCCTTGACCAAAAATGAACAAGGAAGTCTCTGTTTTAGGACCCGGAAAGTCTTTTAATACCCGTCTCTTCACTCAACAGCTAAGCACCACTTTTTTGTGCAGTATTAACCACCCTCAAAAAAGCAGAATTCTCTTTCTTATCTTTTTTGCATTTGATTTTTCTGCTCTAGCATGTGTACTAATATAGTCTTTTAAACTTGGCATTGTGTACTGCAAATACAGTAAGATTGAGAATGAGTAAGTTCATCAGCCATCAAAATTGCTATTATTAGCAAAGTTACAGCTTTTAAAACAAGGAAAGTGAATGAAGTGATAAGAAGTAATTAATTGATCCTATTTTACTTTACCAAACATTGTGACATTTCTAAAATCTTAATCTTTCTGTCTTGTTCAGCTTTCCACTTGCTCTTGATGAGGTCAAGGCTTGCAAGCCTGTTGGAGAAAACTGGCCACAGATCAATATGCGAAGTCAACCATTTCCCAACATATGGGGAGTAAAGGACAGACACAGAGAAAGAGAGAGAGACAGATGAAGATTGAAATTGAAATTGAGATCAGGTTATAGGAACAGGGGGTAATGGTGCGGTTGGTCCTCCTCACCCCTCTCTTGAAACCGCTTCACATTCATCCTCTCTTCTGTGAGGAAAAAAGATAGAGAAAGAAAATGAGAGTGAAGTCTGAATAGATTAAAATCAATATGTCTATCTGATTTTTATTTTTGTTCATTATTAATCTGGGGCCAAGATGCTTCTCCAGGGAGATATGGAAGAAATGGGATTTACTTGCAGGGCCTCCTGTGTGCCATTTTTTGAAGGTGGTTTTAGCAGAACAAGTGAAAAAAAAAGCACTGGAAAAGAAAAGGATGCATTGAGATGAAGAACTGGGACCTGACTGATTGATTAATTGCTCTTACTGGACATTATGGAATTACTTCTGCTTCTGGAAGAAAGTGACAACACTTGACTGATCAGAATAGTGTATCCAGACTAGAATGTTTACTCCTCAGAGGATGATGGGATGAAGAACAAAGCTTTTAGTTGGTGAAAACAACATTGCATCATTCAGCACAGGGGACACAGCAAAGAGCGTGCATGTCTGTGTGTGTGTGTGTGTGTGTGTGTGTGTGTGTGAGCCATGTATAAGCAGTAGTTGTTTTTAACCCAATATTAGATATAAAAAGAAAAGAGCGTTTTCAAGAAATTTTTACAAACAGATCTGAAATTAACTGGAGGCTGCAAAATAGACTGTAACAGACTCATCACACTGCAGTCACACATATGTCAGTGCTATCCACAATCAGTACCATAAAACCCTTAATTCAGACTGACAACATGGGATAATGTACAGTTAGCTGGTCATTAAATTAAATTAAAACAAAATAAACCCTGACAGGGTAATTGGGAAATGATAAAATAAAATAAAATAAACTCTTTCATAAAGTTTTGGTAGAATTTGACAAAACTTTTAGCACATACTACTAATCCCGGTATGAGTCTCAGCCGACAATATGTGCATTGAATAGATAGGCTCGTCAAGACAGGTATTTCTAAGCAGAATAATGCAATTTAATATTATACTCCCAATTAGCCGACATGACATTCATGCAGGACCCGCTCTGCATAGCTACTGAGCAGATTAGCAGATCTGCAACGGAGCTAATGTAGAATTATTCAGTCTGAAGAGGCATTGTATGCTCGTCAAGGCCAGTTATTAATCCACGCATTCTTTTATAGAGGCACAAAGAAGTCCACACAAGATCCAAGCAAAGTGACTGAGAGCCCGGAGAAAATCGAGCACGACTACGGAAGACTGAATTAGCCAGAGTGTGTTGTGCTAATCCGTACTGTATAAAATAGAGTCTGCCTTATCAAGATTGGAGATAGGCACTTAGAGTAAAGTAAAATGAGTATCAGGCATGAGTAAGCCTGATTAAGTCAGAATAAGCCTGCATAAGACGAGATGAGATGGGTGTGAAGCATCAAAGTGGGCTGAAGGATCAGGGTTGAGACAGGGCAGCATGCATTATGGAGGAGAGAGATCCTTAAGCTCAGTGGATCAGGCCTGTCCTGACAGTGAGAACAGACTCATATACACACACACAGCATACACTTAGACACTGTCTGAATATACATGGTTATATAGTCTGGCAGGGATCTCTCTCACACACACACACACACACACACACAGATAGGCAGAATCCCCAAACACTGACTATGACTGCTTACATTTATTCTGAGTGTGGACTGGCATAAATTTTGGTTGGTCCAACCTGCTGAGAAATAAAGGCAGGTTTCAAATAAGGTCTCTTAAGGCACTACCATATTCTCTTTTCTTTCTATGATTTTCCTTTTCACACTCTACATTTAAAAACCGCCATCATACACCTACCCATTCAAAAGAAAAATCACACATCTCTTTAATATCTCAATTGGGTTTAGTAGACAACAAGAATAATTCTGGGGTATAATAGTAATGCAATTTTAGTCCTGAGCAAACACACCAGTAATTTATCTAGGGATCTCAACAATGTCTCAAACTGTGCTCAGATTTGCCAAAAGAATGCAATTAAAAGCCACACATTTCAATATGAACATTTCAAATCAAAGTTCAATCATCACACCAAACCAGATATGCTACCCACAACAGTTTTACAGCTCTACACTCTTACTATATATCAATATTCTCATTCATGTTTATGTCTCCTAAGGATTTTTGATACTTTAATGTCCATAAAGTCTTGCGAGCAATGAAGGATAAATGTGGATGAGCAGTGATTTTGTAGTTGCATTATAGTTGGTTAATCATTACAAAACTATAAATTTCCAATTAGCAAGCAAATTATTCTTTAGAAGAAGTTCGAGATGAACCGATTTGCAAAATGTTTGCATTGACAGTGAAAGAAACATTTTATATAGGAGTAAAACAGTGTCAACAAACTGTAAGAAAAAAAAATGGTTGGAAAAAAGGTACTGGTAATTTTTTGCCAGGTTTACAGTTTACAGTTACACAAGTTTACAGACATTTCCCTAACCCTAACCCTAATCCTAAAGAACAACACAATCCAATGCGTAATTTAAAATAGAAGTAAACACAAGTGGAAAAATCATTATCTAAAAGTCCTTTATATCAACACAGCACATTGTGCCCTATTTTTTATGGATTTTTGCAGTATAACCTGGTGGAACCATAAACAGCACTTCAAACAATTTATGTAACTTATTCTAAAACATAAATGCTAATTTATTTGTCATTTGGCACTTAACTATACTTTTTTCACTACAAAAAAGCATGTAAAGCAAGTAATGACAGTTAAATATATGAATAATTTTTCATCAACTGAAATTCATCATCTAAACAAATTTGGTTTGCTAAAATGAATCCAACTTGTCAACACTATAAAACAAATTCACCTTAAAATTTTTTTTTTTTAAAACTCTAACTAAATCTGTGTCCTCTCTTTGAACCTACCTCAGTTTAAGAGACACTTCACACTCCAGAGGCAAGTCTCAGTTATATTGTTATGCCCTGGAACAGACGGAGGTGAAGAAAAGAGGTCACATGACTATAGGTAGTGTGAGATGGCATCAGTTGACTTGGACACCATTGAAAGTGGGAATTAATTTTCTCGGTTGTAGTTCATGTCACCACAACTCACAAGGTCTCTGCACTCCATAAACCTGGAAGTGAGTTCTGTCTCTGGTGAAGTCAGATAGCTTCTGTACCGCATAAGACTGTTTCCTAGAATTGAATGTGTCTTTTGGGGGAGTTTCAGCTTTGAACCTGACAGTGCGGATACAATGCAGCTCAGGCCCATGGCACAGAAAAACAGACCAAACAGAATTTAGAGCTCATCAGATAATAAACAATACATCAAAGCATCATTGTTCTCTGACACTGCAACACACACACACAAACCTTTGAAGAGTCACATCCAACAGTTTGATCCAAGGTATGAGAGCTCTTGTTGGAGTATCTGTATATGAGGTGATCATTACCATTTAGTAATTACCAGTTACACCCACTCTGGGGCTCTTCACCCATCCATGAGCCCATGTAGTGAGGCATCTCATCCACCTCCACAGCTCTCTATATACAAACAATGAAACAAACACACACTATTTTATCTAACAGCATCATACATGCTTTCTGCACTACCTCCATTCAACCTAGAGCTCTCTCTCTCTCTATTGTATGTTTTCTGTGTCTGTTCATGTCTAGCAGGTCCTTAATGTTAAACTACATTAAAATTCATTAATTAATGTTCATTTGAATAAAAGTTTATGTTTTTCTTGAGAATGAAAGAGTTCAAATCTCACAATCTCTCTTAGTCAAATTAGCTCTGGGAGTCCTAGAGATCTCCTGTAAAAAAAAAGATAAGCCATAAAGGGATAAAATAATTCCCACACAATATCTATAGCAATATCGTGAACCAGTGAATGTAGAGTACAGGTCAGACCACAGAGATTAATTCCTGTTGATGGCAGTCTAATGTGACCTGGACAATTTAGTGAGGTGTCAATGATGCTTTGCTGTGGGTGAATGTTGATTCTAGTGCTAAGGATGTTTTCCCTATTATCTGTTATTTTTTCTACTTTCAATCCAGTTCTTTAAATTATGCTGTATTGCAAGGCGAGCACTGAGCATTAATATTCCACTTCTTTTTATTACAGTGTTTACAAGGCAGACCTTTACTGATATTCCTCAAACTTGCAATTTTTCTTCATCTTCTCGATCATTTTCTGCAATCAATTCAGCTTGAACCATTTAACAGAATTTTATCATTTGACTCCATTTAAACTTTGTTGTGTAGATTTTAGCCTTTGGCGCTCTATCCATTTTGGCTTTTATAAAAAAAAAATGTTATAAACTTACATTTTTTAAAATTCATGTTCAAAAGTCTCCCTTTGCAATTCAGTATGCAAATAACAACAACATCATTGCTGTCTGAGATTTTAAATGTATTTGAATCCATTCAAAAAGTCAGACAGAAATGACTTTATTGCATTATTGGCTTACTGAATTGCAAGTTCTCTTTCTTTGCATTTGTTTGGACATTTGATTGATTCATATTTCCATTCTCACATCTCCAAAATAAGCACAACAGACATGTTACGTGATGATTCTCAAACACCGTCAACAGAAAACAAGGCAGATGCTGAACATCACGACAACATCAAAATTATGCAGAAACGAAGTCTAAAACCTAAGCCTATGTACACTATTCTTTTGCTGCCGTGCAAACACCAGTATTTCCTTTAGGAAATGCAAATCTAAATCCTATTCAAATTCCTGTCTCCATAACCTCCTCTCTCTTTAAATGTCACATTTTTCATCTTCTCTATTATACTTTCACTTAACGGCTCACTCTTGCTCCTGTTTTCTTTCCTCCAGCTGGCTCTAGGACAGGAAGATACCCACTCGTCATCTTCTTCCTTCTCCTCGTCTACGTCAAAGTCCTCCTCAGCAGACTCCTCCGAAACTCTGGGGGTTCTGGGATCTCAGGGTTCGATTTCACCCCTGAGTCGCTGGGTGATGCACAGCCGCGGCCGTGCCACCAACACTTCCACAATGGAGCTGCCCTATCGTTCGCCGGTGCCCTTTTCCAAACAGGAATTTTGGGAAATGCTGGGCAGTGATCTCCTCAAATCAGACACGGATGCATTGGGGAACTCACGTGTCAAGCGCCGCCCACCAATCGTCAAAACTGGCAAATTTAAGAAGATGTTCGGCTGGGGCGACTTCTACTCCAACATCAAGACGGTGCGCCTCAACCTGCTTATCACGGGTAAGATAGTGGATCACGGGAATGGCACCTTCAGTGTCTACTTCCGTCACAATTCCACCGGTCAGGGGAACATCTCAGTGAGCCTGGTACCGCCAGTGAAGGCAGTGGAGTTTGACTTGGAGCGCCAGAGCGTGGTCTACCCTAAAGACTCAAAGATCTTCAACTGCCGCGTAGACTATGAGAAGGTGGACCGCAGCAAACGCACCTCGCTCTGCAACTATGACCCCTCCAAGACCTGCTTCCAGGAGCAGACACAAAGCCACGTGTCCTGGATCTGCTCCAAAAAAAACCTTGAAAAAAACCTGAAGTTAAATTCAGTACGGTGAATACATCCCTGTGGGTTTCCATGCAATTTAGAGTTATGAAGACGGAAATATCCTGCTGGATAGACCAGTTTATCCATGTTTTTAAACACATACTGTTTATCTCCCTCTAATCTGAAATTTATTGTTTTACATACAGGCAAAGCTGCAGAATACCTTGACAATAGCCTGTGTACCACTGTCATTGTGTGTATGGTCCTTACTCTAATGACAAGTGCAAAATTACCTGACAATATCACCAGCAGGTCATCTGGAAACTTGTAGCATCATATATAAACTGGTTTCCATCTCTTGGTAAAACAGCAAAAAAAACCACACAAACAAAAAACCCACACGAGGTTGAACAAAAACTTTAGACATCACAGTTTAATGTATGATGATGAAAAGTCATTATCGCCACTCAGCTTAGTAGATGGTTTGATTTTACATCACTTATATCTGACTATCATTCTTACAATCCGACTTAATCCATGTAGCGATTCCTTCTCAGTGTTCATTTTGTACCCTGTAATTGCTAAAGAAGGTAGAAGAAGAGTGACTGCTATAACAGGTCTGTGTCTGATCTGTGTAACTGAATGTTTGATCCACACTGTGATGCTTTGATCTGTCGCTGTTGCTTCCTAAACCATGTTGAAATGTTTGGCCAGTCTGGTCATGTCAAATTTGCTTCAGTCTAATTCTCAGTCAGACACATGAAAATAAAACACCTCTGTCAGTGCTCCAGGCTTTTGCCCAGTGCAGCATGTCCCGTCTGCCCTGCTGGTGAACTGAGTGCTGGGGCTCACAGCTCTCTGCTCTCTTCTCCCTCAGGTGCTGGTCTGGACTGAGTTTCCTAATCTCCTGCAGCTTAACTACACTACTGCCTGCACACAAGTGCACACACACTCACATAATGGTGCAATTGCTCAACTTTTATTGGTTCTATTTTGTTCGTATTCTTTCAATCGTTCAACTTCATTTTGTGTCACTCATTTTCATTCATTCTTTCATTTGATCATTCTCTTATTCATTTTTTGTTTATTTTTCCATTCATTCATTTGTTTGTTCAGTTTCATTTCATTCATTTTTTCTCAATCATTAGTTCATTCTTTCAGTCATTATTTTACTTTTATTTGCTTTTTAACGTTAATTCTTTCTCACGCTCTTTTGTTTGTTCATTCACTTTCTTTTTCATTCATTCTTTATATTTCTTTGTTTTCTTTGTTCACTTTAACTTGTTTTCTTCCTTCAATTAATTTGTTGTCTTTCATTCGATCTTCCTTCATTTTTCTCTTTCCTTCTTTCACTTTCTTCAGTTCAACCTCCCTTCCTTCTCTCTCTCTCTTTCTATTTGAAATATAGAGAATCCTTCTTTTTGGCTAATTCTTTATATTTCTTTTTTTGTTCACTTCCTTTCATTTGTATGCTTTCTTCCTTGCATCCCTTTTGCACTTGAGCTAATCTCTTTTTCATTCATTTTTCTCTTTCGTTCTTTTTTCTCTTTTGTGTCATTCTTTTTTCCTTCATTCCTTCCGTTTTTCACTTTCTTTCATTCACTCTTCCTTCCTTCTCTTTTTCCCACTCACTTTGTCTATCTCTCTCTTTTTCCCACTCACTTTGTCTATCTCTCTCTCTTTCTGTCTGATCCTCAAGAAACATCTTCAGCAAACCCCCAGTGGTTCCCTTCACTCTTCTCATGGTCGCAGGATGCTTTGGAGCTCTCCTTTATACTGCTCTCACACTTAGCTAACAGAACATTACAGTTTTTCTCAACTGCTTAAACATTTCTTGAAACTATGCCTCATATTCTCAAATAAAGTAAACACAAATCCATAATGTCTCACCCAACCAAACTTTGGCCTCAGACATCACACACAAGCCCTCAAAAACACACACACGAAGGTTCTGATTGGTGTGTTATAAATTTTGACTCTTAGTGTTTCCACGTGGGTAAATGTGTGCTAATTGAGCTCAAGCTATGCTGACTTGAGTGAACAATATTGAATGCTAGTGCTTTCTAAATGACAACATGGTCTAGGCAATGAGAAATGAAGGGATTTGTGTGTAGAGTTTTGCAGTGACAGTTCAACAAATCTGATTCATGTGTCAAAAAGGGGAATAGTGTTTATAGTTTAGGGAAATGGGTGTGCTTTTTGATAAATGGCGTTATGGTTTTGAAATTTTAGTTCAAAAGCCTGGTGATAGTGTTTAAGCAATCGAGAAAAACTGTAAGACAGATGCTTTTTGCAGATGTGTGTAATTATGACATCTACCAGCAGGAGCTAACAGAGCGATATTGTAACCAGCAAAACCTTGACCCCTTGAAATAGACATTTGTCAACCATTCATTTAGCTTTTTTTGTTTCGTGTTTGGTGTGAAGAAAGGGCCTTTACGGGTCAAGATGCCCGTAAAGCATTGAAGGCGCGCTCCCTTCACTCAGTATGGTGAGGCGTTTTCACTGCAAGGTTGATCCCTTTGATTTGGTTTAGTTTGTCCTCAGGATCATTTTGACTTGTGGAGTTACACAAAGATTTGCTTGAGAAAGAGTGAAAGAGAAAGAGGGAATATGTGGTGTCAGTGTGCCGCGATAGTGGGGGGTTATAAAGCACATCTGGTGGAGAATGTGGGTGTTTCTCAGAGCAGCTTCCCTTCCGTACCAGTCAGAGCCGTCACACGGCTGATTTACGCTCCTCTAATGTCATGGAACGAAAACATTGAAACTGTGCCATAAACAGTGAATTCTTCATAAGTTGGGAGATTATGATTCAGTGTGTAGGGAGGATGTCCAGCTTTTTACGAGACCATCAGTGCACACACACACACACACACACACACACACACACACACACACACACACACA